GGACTTTTCATTAGTACAATTTTGAAATTTTTGTTTCATTTGTCATTAGTTTCGATTTCTTCCGCTGTTGTCGGCAGATATGAAAGAAAGTACAGTTAAATAATATCCTATCGATCTATAACACGTTCAGTAATAGGGTCTACTTCAATCAAATGAGTATCAATAAACATAAAGAAACCGAGAATAGGTTTCATTTATATTGCTTGCAAGTAACATACAATCTTGTCGACGATCAAAAGAATGAGATAGTCTGAATCCAATATCGCTTTCTGCTCGATCAAGAAACCAAACCATAGATTTAATTTCTTTCCGAAGAGATCCACGAATAACATGTGATGGGCATGAACCAATTAGAATAAGATCGAACACTAGTATGAATAAGGACCTATTAAACACTATTCAGCAAAATGCGGACAATCAGAGAAAATTGACAATTATTGCTCTTTTTTTTACAGTTAACAATCAGATGTTTATGAAGAGCACCTTATATTGACTTGTTAATGTTTGAATTAATTATTTTTATGTAAATAGACCATTTTGTTCTGAGAAAACGATGAAAAGGATAACATATTGAGAATCAGTTTTTGTGTAATATCGATTTCATCGGCTTCCAGTGGTCAATCATCGATCCAGAAATAATATCGGCAGTAGCATGGTCAAACATTAAATTTTTGTAACATTGAACGCAAACACAACCTTTTGCTTGTGGCTAATACTGAAAAAAAAAGTGCCCAATTGTTTATGAACACTGATAATAACTATTTTATCAAAAAGCAACAAGAATTCATAAACTTTACGTGCACTTTTAATCAATTGATTGGTAAAATAATAATAAGTTCTATGTAAAGTAAAAATAAAATAATTTTCGTAGACGCAGTGGAAAGTCAGTAGCAATTAGATGATCAGGAATCATAGATTAGAAAATTTCTGGTAAGAATTGTGATGAATTAAATGAAAAACCAACTTAAAAAATAGCCATCGCCCATGTATATTGAACACAAGTAACGTCTGAAAAATAAAATAAGAAACAGTATGCTCGCCATATGATAATTAAACTAAATTTATGTCAAATAACTGATTTTACAGTCTACATACTGAATCAACAAAGAATATTTGAAACAGTGAACTTATAAAACAATATTGAATTCACCTAAAAAAGAAAAGAAAATCATAGGTATCAATCGACAGAGTGTACTAATGGCTTGAGTGATTGATGCATTACTTCATTCTTTTTCACACTATTGCTTCTATAGAGTAGTCGAAGCTACGTATTTTTTCCTCTTGTGCTCACTTCATAACAGTATTAATCTATCTCAAACTATGCACCCCGAATGTATTCCTACATTCAGATGATTTTTCATCTTTTTATGTGCTAGCTGATTAAATAGAAATAAATTCCATAAAAATAGTAACCTCGAAATTTACTCGAGACATGCTCTAATGTTTTTGAATCATTTTGAATCATGCTCAACTCAATCATACCTATGTCTGTATGATTGAGAGTCGTCTTCTCACCAGCAGCTTCACATCTTCAGAGTTATTGTCACACATTCGGACTCTTGTTCTCGCTTCGGCAATATTTTCTTATTTTAACATCGTTAATGTTATTCTTGGTATATCAGTTTTTTGTAAAGGATTGATAGTCAGCTCTAGAGCTTTAGATGAATGTGGCTTGATGTAAATAAATGGAAAAAAAATCTTGCTCGATGCCACTCGTGCTACACATCAATAATGTTTGATTTCAGCAGGTGATGAAAAAAAGTTGACTTTTGATGAACGAAGAACTCATTATTTGATACCTAAAAGAATCTATCCTCTGCTTCTGTATTAGACTTCTTCTCAATCACATTCATGTAGCTTTACTCCATCGAGTAAAATAGTATTTCGATCAATTACTCAAATGACATCAATTAGATATACGACCTCGACTTCATTACTTTCAAACAAAACACGTAGCTGAGACAATCGGAAAAATCATTAATTACAAAAGATGGCCGCTAATCATTTATGATAAAATGCTGAAGATCGTCGCAAAGATTGCGAAAGGATACAATGTCAGTTATCATAGAGTTCAACATAATTACGTCGATTTGAGAAAAAAATCACACGAATCTCTAACACATTTTTTAAAGCGACCATGCCGGAGTAAGTGTATAAGTGTGGTCTATTATGTGTATGGATGAATGGAATCGAGCTTCGATAAGAAAATTGATGATGTCTCTTTCGTCAATCACCATTATTCATAAGAATTAATTCGGATATTCACAAGGTGGACGTAGTTTTTTTCAGGAGAGTCCACAAAACTATGAGGACATGTACTCTCTATTCGATTAGTGAATGTTTCCGCACAAATGATGCATCGTCATCCTTATCCACATTGGTGAAGTGTAGCACGGCATGCTGCCGCAAATTGCTTTATGACATCAAGGTAAATATCGAATAGTTCGTGAAATATCCATACACATCACACATGATTTCGATAGAGGACATCGATATCGATCTCGGCTAATGTACGAAGTTGATGGAAATAATCTTCTGGCGCAACAACATAGGTGAGTTTGCAAGAAAAACGATATCAAACGCTGATCCTTAATAATAATATTGAACGGTTACCTACAGTCAATGTGGGACCACAACGTCGAAAATCAATGAAAGCCGAATTCGCACTCTAAAAAAATACTCATTGTCACAAATATAGAAAATAGTTTTTGAACATTTTAATACCAGGAAGGTTTCCAACATGATTTCTGAAACCTTTTAAGAGTGTCTCCTATTTGAAAACAATTTCCGAAATTTCAAAAACTCTTCAAGCACTCCAGACGGTAGCATTTGTGGAAACCTATTTTTAACTTGGAGAGGTTTTAAAGCGTATCCAAGATCGTACTTCAAATGCTTGCATCATAGAAATGTTTGAAAACTTTTCTTTAGGTATCCCATACTATGAGTTCTTTGTAGAGTGTGCTGTGAAGTTGTCTATCGCTAAAGCTATAATAGCAATTTTTGTATCTTACATTTACACCTGTTACGCGACATTCTAATAATTTTCGCAGATACTTGTCGCAAATACGGTCATAGATCTTATGGAAGCTACTTGAATATTTGTGTGTATACTATGATCAGCAATAATAAGTAAAATTAGAAAAAATATTTTCAAATGTACGTATATCTAAATATAGAATTAGACAATCGAATAGATAGGGCTACCTTAACAACAAAACTGGCAGAGAAAATCATAGACAAATATGAACAATAAAACAACGTAAACGAAGGACAATATCCCTAGAGTGAGTTAGTATATATATTAAAAGTAAGAAAAAAAATGCTATTACCACAATTTTTACGAGATTGTAATATGAAACGCCATGGAACTACTATGTACTTGATCGAGAAGCTCTAATAACTTCCATAGCATTTTTCAGAAATCAAACACAAACACCTTGGAAATAACTCTTGATATTAACAAGTATATAAAGCGAGTGCAAAAGAATATCCTATTGCAATGATGTTGTTGTTGATACATTTCGTGTTTGTCTTATAACAAAACTATTTGATATACAATATGCATCTTATAAAGTCCAAGATAGTGTAATCGATTTTGCTAAGAAAAAGAAAATAAGTTGAACAGATATTCATAACAGCCGAAGCATACACAACAATTTCATCACAATCTATGTTGAACTCGACATAGTCTATATCTTTCATCGTCATCAAACATTAAAAGATTATCTTTGTCATAAATGAATTTGAGAACATTAAGTAATCATCGAATTTTTTTATTCTATTTGTATTGCATACTATCGTGTTCTTTCTATCCTATACAAAAGCACTATGGTTCTTTTTCGAACTCAACGAATGAGTGATACTTGTGCATCATAATGGTTCAATATCTGATAAATGTGATAAACAAATGCGTCATAATCATAGTGAAGTCAACACTCAAGCAACATACCTGCAATACAAGCTATTTGTTTCATCATTCTTCACTTTCATTACAACTCATAGATCATTGAACACAGAAAATCCGACAGTCCAACAATTTCATGAAGTTCTTGACAAGAATGACACGTATGAAAATACTCTCTTGTCTTAGGTACAATATCATTCACTGGATGATTTCATCACTCTTCAAAATTTCTCAAAGAATACATTTGCCATCTAAGATAAGTATGTTTTCCGAAACAAAAGAAGCACTCTGTCCAGAGAGAAGCAACACGAGAGAGTTCGAATATATCTTCATTTCAACGATTCCTTGTTCAATAGCGAATCAAGTGAAAACCTTGACATCTATACCACGGGTCATATTAATGCCTCGTAGCTAAAGAGTACATCCGTCCCTCTTGTAGGATCTGACAGAGGGAAATTTACTCGACAAAACTTACAATGTTACTTGATGCACTAATGCAGCTTAAGAGATCTGTCTTGGATGAATTTTAGTATTATTCTCAAGTATTTTAAGAAGTCAATTTTTCTTAGCTTATCCCATAAAACTAAATGATATATGCATAGACTTGTCATTCAATATGGAACAATGACTCATAATCAGAATTCATTTGAATTATTCTTGCCTTGGAATAATATGAAATATACATCTACGTTCACTGTTTGGACTATGTTAAATGTACAAAACATGTAAAACTCTTCTCTTTGAAAGAGAACATTCAAAGCCTAGTATTTTTATGGAATAAGCACACATTGCAAATCTATACAAAATGAAATGTGAACGAAGTCATTTTCAAATAGTGGTGTGGGTAAAATATTTGAGAACATGGAATTACATTGCTATGTACACACTTGAGATAGTTTCTTATACTATTTCTTGTTTTATGTTAAGTAATAATTGATGGTAGTACAAAACTTTCTCTGAACATATTTTTCATTGGAAATAGATCTATTACATCTTGATGATTATAGTATTTTAAAATAATTGAAGGATAAATTATAAGGACAAGGATAGAAGTTCGAGTTTGAGTCTAATCAGTAATATTTCAGTCTAATAATGATCAAGCATACAATTCTGTACTATTAAAATACTGAAATAAATCATATCCGCCAGCAACTAAGACTTTTCCATTGTTTAAGATCGATGCTGTATGAGAATGCCGTGCAAAACTCATGTTGCCAGCCTTTGTCCAAACTCCTGTTAGTGGATCGTACAGTTCTGCACTATTCAAATCGCCATTAGAACTATATCCCCCAGCAACTAAGACTTGTCCATTGCCTAATACCGACGCTGTATGATAACTCCGTCCATAACTCATGTTACCAGTCTTTGTCCAAATTCCGGTTGATGGATCGTAAACTTCTGCAGTATTCAAAAAACTGCTAGAACGATACCCACCGGCAACTAAGACTTTTCCGTTGTTTAAGATCGATGCTGTATGATAGTACCGCCCATAACTCATGTCGCCAGTCTTGGTCCAAAGTTCTGTTGATGGATCATAAAGTTCTGTAGTAATCATAGAGCCATTGGAGTTGGCTCCACCAGTAACTAGGACTTTTCCATTACTTAGTATCGATGCTGTGTGAACTCGTCGTTCACCACTCATGTTGCCAGTCTTTGTCCAAACTCCTGTTGATAGATCGTACAATTCTGCACTATTCGAATAGCCATTAAGCGTATAGCCACCAGCAACTAAGATTTTTCCGTTGTTTAAGATCGATGCTGTATGATAGTAGCGCCCATAGCTCATGTTGCCAGTCTTTGTCCAAACTCCTGTTGATGGATCGTAAAGTTCTGCAGTATTTAAATTGACAATAGCACCAAATCCACCAGCAGCTAAGGCTTTTCCGTTTGGTAAGACAGATGTTGTGAAAATATATCGTCTAGCTGTCATGTTGCCAGTCTTTGTCCAAACTCCTGTTGATGAATCAAACAGTTCTGCACTGTTCAAATCACCACTGGGACCATATCCACCAGCAACTAAGACTTTTCCGGTGTCTAGCATCGATGCTGTATGATAAAACCGTGCATAACTCATCCTGCTAGTATTTGACCATTCTAAAGCGAAGTATTTCGATGCAGCAATCGGAGAGTTGGCAAAAAGTTTAGTGAATTTTTAAAAGCTCTATTTTCATAAAATTTTTCTGTATTTTTTGTTGTTGGATGAGATATTATGATCCATTTAATTGAATCGTACCACTCTACATAGTATATAATTACTTTAATACGGTATCAATTTCTCTATTAGCTCACATGATTGTAGTTTCATTTGGCAAAAGTCTTCAAGAAATAAGGTTTGATTGATTCGATTCGAAATTCGGAGAATTTGGTTCGAATGCTTGGCATCTGACGGTGTTATCCTACTTCACTACCTTATTTTATAGAATATAAGAGTATAGAATTTAAAAACTAGGTAGCAAATTTTTGGGTTCTCTATATTAATGTGTTTAGTCATTAGATAAAAAGAAAACGTCGTACAGCTACATGTAATCAAGAGCGTGTACATAAGAGATAAGTAGGGATGTACCGAGTATATCTCGGTTTTCCCCCTTCTTTCTCGAGATTGCTCTCATTATAACGAATGCGGTACAATTTCGCTCAACATATATGTTTGTAGAGCAAACATTTTTCTATAAAATGAGAGGTGGATGAGGTTGGTGCGACGTATGGTTCAAGTTTTATTACAGTTCTACCAGAAGCCCTAAAACCGAGACCGAGACCGAGAGTTTCGGTCTCGGTCTCGGTTTTAGGGCTTCCGGTAGGACTGTAATAAAGCTTGAATCATACGTCGCACCAACCTCATCCACCTCTCATTTTGCAGAAAAATATTTCCTCTGCAACATCACGTTCTTCAAGAGCATTGCCAGCCCTGAGTTTTCGCAACTAAGAATTTATTTTACAAAAAAATAGAAAACAATATTTTCAGTCTCGGTACATCCCTAGAGATAAGATGCAACGCGATCATTAGAATTTTTAGTCAGAAGTTAGTCAACAGAAATATTAATGGAGAATCGCAAATGATGGCATAACTACTTTCAAATCCATTCTCACCCATCATTGGATCCATTAATTCATGCGCCTTCAAAAACGTCTTTCATATGAATGTGTGATCTAGGTTGGATAAGCAAAGTTTCGTTAATAGGACACTCTTCATTGACGAAAGTCGGAGAGTACATTGATGAAAGTCCACTATAATTTTGTCAGTCGACGGAGTTTCAGGAGATGTGCTAGCGAAGCTAGGTTGAACTTTTACTAGCTGTGACGAAACAATATTAATATAGGAATCATGTGAGAGATAAAGTCTATACTGTTAGAATGTATTTTGGTTGAATTTCACTTGACTGAATAACACTTCTCTACTGATCTGTTTTAGATCAATTCAAATATCAACTAAAATGCTGAATTTTATTCGAAAATATTTCTTTGCACCATGATGTACTTATAAGTAAGAATTCTGTAAGAAAAGCTTTCATCACAGTTTCTATGAAATTAAAATAAAAAACACGATTGGTTTTGTTGTACTCATTACCGAAAAACCTACGAACACCGACGATATTAATCGGTAGAATCAGACGGACGAACATAACATTATATCTCTTAAGGTTTTTGATGCTATAAAACTTTATCATTCTACTGATCACACTCTGTAGGACAGACGGGCGGAGAAGCAGTTGGCTTTTCGAATTATATACTTCAACACTTATTTCCAATTGTCATTCACAAAATGAAGATGAGACTATAATTGGTCTTTTCGTAACACTTAAAGACTGTGATGAAAAAGCTCTACACAACCATTAAGTGAATTATTACTCAAGGGTCTTATCGCTTACTGCTAGGCACATAGATCGTTGTTGTTAGAGCATTTTTTGATATTGTCGTTGTTCTTGAGGTTGTCGATGTTGCCGTTGTTCTTGAGGTTGTCGATGTTGTC